GCCCCATGTTTGTCTCCCTGCTCAGCTGGGAGCCTGCTTCTCCCTCTCCCTCTGCAACATCCCCCCCCTCCCCACTGATGCTCTTGATCTCTCTCTCTCTCTCTGTCAAATAAAATCTTTTTTAAATAAAATAAAACAGAGCTCTAGAAAATATTTAACCCAAAAGAAGGCAGGTAAAGGGAAACAGAGGGATAACAGAAGGAACAAAGAAAATAAAAGCAAAAGGTGGACCCAAATCCAAATATATCAGTAATTATATTACATGTAAATGATCTAAACACACCAATTAAAAGAGTTTTGCAGAATGAATTTTCTTAAAAAATAAACCCACTTTACAATGATATAGGTAAGTTTTAAAGGGGAATGCGAGATGCAGTCTTCCAGTTATGGAATGAGTAAGTCACAGGAATAAAAGGCACAGCATAAGGAATATAGTCAATGACATTGTAACAGTGTTGTGTGGTGACAGATGGTAGCTATACTTGTGAGCAGAGCATAATGTATAAACTTGTCAAATCATTGTTGTACACCTGAAACTAATGTAACATGTCAACTATACACAAAAAAATTGAAAAAATAAAAGGGTGGAGAAAGATATATAATACAAAAATTAACCAAAGAATGCTAGAGTGACTATTTTAATATCATACCAAGTAGACTTCAGAACAAGGAAAATTACCAGGGATAAAGAGGGACATTACATAATGATAAAGGTCAATCCACCAAGAAATAACAATTCTAAATATGTATGCATCTACCAACAAAGCCCTGAAATATAGGAAGCAAAAACTAACAGAACTGGAAGAAAATAATAAATTCATAATTATAATTGGAGACTTCTACACTCCTCTTTCTAAAATCAACAAAACAAGTAGATAGGAAATCAGGATACAGAAGAACTAAACACCACCTACCAACTGGATATAATTGATGAAGTTGCCAGTATTTAAATATTGCCAATTATTTTTTATCCACAAAGAAGTAATTTCCTGTTATTTAAACTAATACAAACTTGTTTTTAAGCCTAATAATGAGCTGTTACTGATGTTTACCCCCAAGAAATCAATGATCTGTGTTTCCTGAAGAAAGTGAAGAAGAACAAATTAATTCAGAAGTAGAAGGAAGAGAATAATAATGATACAAGTAGAGATCCATAAAGTAGAAAAGAGACCATAGAAAAAAATGAACAAATCCAAAAGTTAATTCTTTATTGATAAACCCCTAGCTAGACTGACAGAGGGGAAGAAGTGGGTGGGGAGGGGGGTAGAATGGACACAATGTCAAGCATGAAAGAGGTGACATCACTACAGACCCTGTAGGCATTAAATGAATAAAGGAATGTTGTAAGCAACTCTATACCAGTAAATCAGACCAATCAGATGAAATAGGCAAATTCCTTAAACAAAATTTATCAAGTATTAGTTGATAATGCTGATATACACCTACTGGTATGCCTGTACCTTGAGAACCAAGCTCTAAGTGGACTGGGCAACGAAATGTCCAGTGGGATATTGGGTGGGGCAAAGGGCCTTAGATCTGTGGGGAAGTGGGAAAGAATAAAGAGGAGTCTCAACCCTACAACAGTTTCAATCTCCAGTGTGAGAGACCTAGCCTTTGGGGACAGACTCAGCACCACCAGCTGGTGGCCACTCAGTCCAGAAAACAAAACTACAAAATGCAGCCTCTCTGAAGTGCCTCCCAGTGTGGGGACCAATTTGGTCAAGGTGGGGTTGGGTATGTCTGGAGAGCTACCTACCCAGACCTGCTGGGGACCAGGCAGAGGTGCCTGGGGAGTAGGAGGCAGCTTGAAGAAACCAAAAGGCAATCTTGAAAAATGTGGTCCCAAGTAGCCAATCCTTGGCCCCTATATCCTCAGGTTCCAACCCAGAGCCCGTCCACCTTTAGGACACAAGATCCCAGCCCACTTCCCTCAGCCCTGGAAGTACAGCCCCCTGCACCAGGGCTGCCATTAGTCAAGGACACCTTTTAAAGTCTCTTCACATTTTTATTAATTTCCAGGAGGAATGAGGGACAGTCCAGCACTTTCAGGGGGAGTCCAGCCTCTAGCTGCAGCATGAGGGATCAGAGCCAGACTGGAGAAACTATTTGCCAAAGATACCATTAGCGGCCTGAGTCTGCAGCTGGATCAACTTCCTAGACAAATTTGACAAAAGAGAAATGTTAGGGGAGGGAGGCATCATGTGTTCTCCTCCCTGGTGAAATCAGGGCAGACCTCACTGAGGCCCCTCAGGAAGGAAGTAGCTTGGTCAGCTGCCAGCCAACACCCCCCCCCCAACCCCCGCACACACCTAGGCCTCCGTCCAGGTGTCTACCTGACCAAACCACAATCTGCTCCAGGGCCTTTTCATGAGTCCTTTCCCTGCCTGTAATTTCCATCATAACCCCAGCAGACTAGGCACACTAACCAATGTGCTGGGAGGAGGTGCAGGGAAGGGGCCCTCCTGGTAGAGGGCACAATCTGGGCAAAGGCCAGAAAGAGGAACCCCGCTCACAGAACCAGAGGAAAGGCTCACCTGCCACCTGGAGCTCCACCGGGTCGCTGAGCTCAGACACGAAGGGTTTGGGCGACCATGAGCGGTATCGGCAGCTGTAGTTGCCTGCGTGCTGGGGCCCCACATAGGTCAGTACAAGGTCTGCTGAGGGGTGGCTGGTCCAGAGTTTGGTTGAAGGCTCCTCTTCGTCTGCTCGCAGCAGCTCGAAGATGACCGTGGGCACGACGCTGGGTACCTGGCTCTCGCAGCGCAAGACCGCATCATGGCCGGGAACAACCGCCCCATGCGACAGGGGCCGGAGCCGTGGCCTGGGGGGGGGTCCTGGGCGGAGCAGCCAGGTCAGTCAAGTGAGGTCCTCCACTCAGGTAGTAGCTGCCCCAGCCCCCCTCCGCCCTCCTGCCTCCCACTAAACCCAGGCCTGCTGGCTGTTCCATCCCTCCAGGATGCTACCCTTTGTCCTCACACAACTTTCCGCCTTTTCCTGGTCCTGAACAGACACGGTTCCTCCTCTTATCCTACGGATCACCGTCTTCCCCAAGACCTTGCAAGTTCCCTAGACCCGGGCCTGCTCTGAGACTTCCTGGAGTACCCAGCATTTGGCAGTCAGGGCCTCAGGACAGGTGTGGGAAAGGAGGAAATGGCCAAGGGAAACGGTGTTCCCGGCAGAGAGCACAGGAAATGAGCCAAATGCGAGGTGTCCCGCAGACCATCGGCAGCCGAAATTCCATTGGCCCGAAGGGTTTGCTGTGCGGACAGGACCAAGGCCCGGTGCACTTCCCTTCGGCGCGCTCATTTGCTCACGGCTGGGAGCCCTCGCCCGCTCACCGTCTACGCGCAGCTCCAGGGGCGCGCTGGGCGCCGAGCCCTCGAAGGGTGGCGCCGTGTCCACATAGACGCAGCTGTAGTTGGCGGAGTCCACCACCGACACGTCCCGCAGCTCGAAGGTGGCCTCTGTCCCCGCGGGGCTCAGGACACGGTGCACTCGGCGCTCGGCGCCCTCGCGCACCAGGGCGAAGCGCAGGCCGGCCCGGGGAGCCCGGCACCGCAGCTGCACCAGCGTGCCTGGCGCGGGGTGCGGAGTCGCGGGGTGGGCCGAGAGCTCCGGCGCGGGGAGCGTCTCTATGGGGAGAACACTGGCTGACCCGGGCGCGGAGGGGAAGGCTTGGGCCTCACATGCGATCCAGCCTCGCGCCTTCTGCCTGAAAGAGTCCGCCGGCCCCCTCCGCTTCAAACTGTACCACCCTCCAGACCTCACCGGATCCCTCACACACAGTCCAAAACTATTCCTTATTAGTTTGTCCATAAAAACAGACGTGGGGAAGGCGTCGAGTTTTGTCACCAAGCCCAGGACATGCGGTTGCAGATGGCTGGGATCCTCTCTTGGGGTGGTCGCTCCCGGTCCTTGGCAGGCCCTGCAACAGGCCTGGCTCCCTTCCACAGCCCCAGCCTGATTCCCTCCAACAAACAGGCCTCGGGCGCCCACCCAGACCCGGGAGACAGGAGGGGACGCCCGGCAGGGGGCGGGCGCCTGCATGGCCTGCGCCAGACTTGCGTGTTGACCCAGTTATTCTTATTGAAGCCTTGGGGATGCTGAGCTCATTGTCCCATTCTCAGCTGGGGAAACTGAGGCCGGGCGGATGAGTTGGGATTGGGCCCCAACCAGAGCCCTGCAATTCCGGGGAACCCTTCCCTGGGCCCCTCCTCCTGCTCTCCGCCCGGGGAGCAGAGCGCTGTCGCCCTCCCAGCCCCATACCCACGTCCCAGCCTGTGGCTGCCAGGCTTACCGTCGCTCAGCAGCAGCTCGGCAGGCGCGCTGTCAGAGGACCAGGTTTGCTCGCCACGCAGCCGATAGCGGCAGGTGTAGAGACCGCCGTTCCCTAGAGCCGCCGCGTTCAGGTCAAAGAAGATGCGGTCTGGGCTGGTGGAGCTCCTGGGTCCCCGCAGCTCCTCCTCGCCCCGCCGCAGCTGGAATTCCACGCCGCTCAGGGGCGCCACGCAAAGGAGGGTCGCGCTGGCCCCCCGGGGCAGGACACCTGCAGACTCTCCCTGGAAACTCAGCGTGGGTGGCAACGGTGCTTCTGCAAGGCAGGGAGGGTCGCTGGGGCTAGAGTCCCGGATACCCCCGCTGTGGGACTGTTCCCGAGAAAGCTACGGTCAGCCAGGCCCCCGACCCCCACCCCGAGCTGCCACAGTGTCAGTGTTCAGGTCCAGGTGCGATCCATCCAACTGTGTGACCACTGTTTCCCAGACCTAATCCTGGGCAAGGGTATTCAGGGTTGGGGATCAAGGTAAATGCAGCTCTGTCCTCCAGGAACCTCCTACCCCAGAAAGCCCTCTGGGATGGTCAACACTCACCCAGCTCCTCGACTGTCACAGTAGCACTGGGCTCAGAGGGTGCACCTGCTTCGTGGGTCCTGTAGCTGCAGCTGTAATTGCCAGGCTGATGGACTGAGAAGGTAGCCTCTGCATCTTTAGGGGCCTCAGCCACGCCTAAAAACTGATCATCGCCTTCCCGCCTCAGCAGGAAGGTCACACCACGAAATCCCCCATGGCACAGCAGTTTCATCTTCAGACCGGGTGTGATCCAGGACACGGGCTCAGTTGAGAGCAAAGGTGGGGGTAGGGACTCTGTGGGTGGAGCAGGTTTGATGGGTCGTTCTGAATGACTTGGGAGACATGCAAGACCCAGCCAGACTAGGATCTCCACACTCATGAAAATGGGAGGGAGGGGCGCCTGGGCGGCTCAGTCAGTTGAGCTTCGGACTCCTGATTTGGCTCAGGTCATGATGCGGGGGGGGGGGGGGGCCTCCTGTGCTCAGTGGGGAGTCTGCTTAAGGATTCTCTCTCTCGGGCGCCTGGGTGGCTCAGATGGTTGAGCGTCTGCCTTCGGCTCAGGTCGTGACCCCAGGGTCCTGGGATCGAGTCCCACATCGGGCTCCCGGCTCAGCGGGGAGCCTGCTTCTCCCTCTGACCCTCTCCCCTCTCATGCTGTTTCCCTCTCGCTCACTCTCTAAAAAATAAATAAAATCTTTAAAAAAAAAAAAAAGGATTCTCTCTCTCCCTCTCCCTCTGTTCCTCCCCCACCACACACAGTGCTCTCTCTCTCTCTCTAAAATAAATAAATCTGAAAGACACAAAGAAAGAAAGCAGGAAGGAAGGAAATATGAGGGAGCCAGGGAAATGGAAGACATTGATAAAGGAAAGGGAGGCAGGGACAGGAGGAGACAGGGGCATTAAACAAGAAGAGGATATGTTAAGAGAAATGTGCTAGGCTTTCTGGGGATTCAGTCATTTATTCCTCACAACCTTCTGGGATCAGTGCAAACATCATCCTCATTTTACAGATAAGGAAACAGGATCAGAGATGTCAGATGACTTGCCAAAGGCCACCTAGCTGCTCAGGGACCCCCCCACCCCAGCCACCCACACCCCATGTCAGAAAAGTAGGACCAGGATAGTGAGGAGGAGGAAGGGAGGAAGTCAGGCCTCTCCAGCAGCCCTCTCCTCCCTGTCTTGTGGCTCCGTTAAAGCCCCTGCTCACCTGCTCCAGTCACCTCCAGGAGGTTGCTCAACTGGGTCCATCTGCTGTTCAAGCCAGAGCGGCAGCGGTAGAGGCCCCGGGTGTCACTTGTCACTGCTCCTAGTGGGAACTGGTGCTCCATGGCAGGTAAATCAAGGTGCACAAGTTCCTGGGTTACCCCGTCCTTAAACAGCTCAAAATCTGGGGTCATCAGGCGGGCCTGGCATGTCAGCGTCAAGTTGGCCCAGGGCTCCAGCAGCGATTCAGCCTCTGCCCACAGGTTCGGCCGGGTCTCGAATACTGCATGGCAGGTGGAGGTCAATGCTGGGCCCTAATGGGAGGGAGGGGCTCACCTCTGCAGGTGCCCACCTTCCCCAAGACCCAACCCGGACTCACCTATGGCTCCCTCGGTTGCTGGGCCCAGTGAGAGACCTGTAGAGACGGCAGCTGTGAGGCCCCCATTCCTATCTGTCCTCCTCCCTCCTGCCCCAAGGGACCCCGGCCCCAGCAACCTCACCCCAGAGCATCAGGAAGGCCCCAAGTATAGACATGATGGCCAGCCGTGCTCCAGTTGGTGAGCGTCTGGGGTGATAAAGCCCAAGTGAGGGTGAGGGCGGCAAAGGGGCAGCAAGGGGCAATGACCTCTTCCCTATTATTTGTCCTTCCCGGGGGGGCGCCTGCAGGGGGTAGGGACAAAGGGCAAAACTCCAAGGCCTTTGGGAGCCTCATCAATAACCATAATCAATAATTCTGTGTAATTAACAAACTAAGCAATAAATAATAAAAATGATAATTTTAAAAATAATAGCAAACAATAACATTAGCAAGTGAAATGACTTAAAATATGAGAAATACAATTTTAAAATAAAAATTAAAATAATGTGGGCGCCTGGGTGGCTCAGTTGGTTGAGCGACTGCCTTCGGCTCAGGTCATGATCCCGGAGTCCTGGGATCGAGTCCCACATCGGGCTCCCTGCTCAG